GTTCTTTTTCGGTCGTTTGTGATGTTTATGTCGTGAATGAGTCGTTTGTATGGAGCGGGTAGTTGTTGACATCTGTTTAGGGGAGTCTGTTCTAAGTTAGTAAACCAGCTTTCCAGAGTCAGTCGTTGAAAATAGTCAGTGCTGTAGGTTAGGCATTGCGCAGAGTCCCAGTCAATGTTGTGGTTGGTAAGTCGATGGTGTTCAGCAATGTGATTGCTGACATCACCTTTCCTCGTCGCCCGTCTGTGTTCAGTCAGTCTTGTTGTGAGGTTTCTGCCAGTCTCACCGATGTAGGAGGCTTGGCAGTCGGAACAATTGATCTTATAAATCGTTCCCTGTCTGTTCCTCGGTTCGTCTTTGTCTTTAACGTTGGTTAGTAACTGACGTAGTGTGGTGATGGGTTTGTGGGCGACGCGGATATTGAAGGGTAGTAAGATGCGCGAGATGTTTTCAGACATGCCTTTTATGTACGGTATGGTTGCTGTAGTCGTAGGGGTTGCGGTGTCGTTTGTTTCGGTAGTGGTAGTGGGTCGGTGAGTGTTTCGTCGGATGAAGTCGTTGTTGTAGTTGTTCTTCGTAAAAACACGGTGAAGGTATTTGTTCTCGTCGGATAAGCTGTCTGTCGACTCGCATACTAGTTGTGCGCGTTGTGTTAGAGTTCTGATTGTTGTGGCTTTGTGTGATGTAGGGGTGTAGGATGACTCGTCTAGTAATCTGTCGGTGTGTGTCGGTTTTTTCAAATATGGTAAGTGAAAGCGTCAGTTCAAAATTTTAATTAAAACGAAGCTAAAAAAATTGATAACGTCGTTAAAATTTATCTATATTTATCTTTTAGGGCGTTTAATATTAAGAGTAATCCAATCGCACCTTTCGATATGAAATAATTTTAGCCAACTGGGCCCTACAAACGGTCATCGTTGGATATCTATCATCTCACATCCAACACGCACTCGTGGAATAACTGTTCAGTATGATACCGGGCGCAATTTGTTTTGAGGGAGGAACTTGGATGTGCGAATTACCAATAAGTAAGATCACATTTTGATCAAGATGATGACCCAACACCTGATCTAGAGGTTTGATATTTTTAGAAGAATAGTGATAAAACGTTACCTTTTCCAACAGTTTGAGTCTTGTCTCCCATGTCTTCCTCTTGAACTGGCTCGACCAGTTTCTTTTTTCCTTCAAAATCCTCGTGTTCAACAGCCTTATCTCTCGGTTTGTTTTAATAAGTTTAGCTTCCTCCTTATTTCCAACTTCGCCGCTATCTACCTCTGTGAGTGGTTCCTGGTACTTTCCACAACAGTGGCAGCGTCTGTACCTCAGGGCCTCTTTAACAGCAGCAATATCCCTCCACAGGCACCAACAACAACAAATCATAAGGACGAGAATTACTGCAAGTCTCCGTATTAAGATGTACAGTTTCCAGTTAAACGACTTTGAATCTGAAAATTAAAACATGTTTTTATTCAATTGAGATCGAAATTTCGAAGGCGTAAAAACTTTTCCTCGAATTTATAAATGTTTTGACATATGGTAGAGCACATCTGCAACTAAGTTTTTAAATGCAACTAGAACGAACTCAATCAAAAAAAGCTTTGCCGATTCCGGTGAAAATCCGTATACCTTTCCCACAAAATTCCAATGATGGCTTTGAGGTGGTGACGTGTCTGCGATTGAGTAAAAGCAATGTTAAATGACACTCCTAAGTTCACAGTTGAGGTTTCTCTTTGTTGCATTAAGCATAAGATCGATAAGTTACTGACAAATAAAAATAAAAGTGTAACTGACCATGAACACATTCTCCGTACCACTAAGAGCATCCCAAGTCTGACTCGGAATTGACGGTATATCAGTCTAATGGTGCCTAAAGCTTATATTCGTCAAGTGTTACAAGGAAATAATGTGGTCTTTCTTGTGAAGATTGACAAGCGCCAACATAGCAAAATTTTTATCTTGGATTTTTGTTTTCTAGAATTATGGACAATGACACAATCCGTTTATATAGCTACTTTCCAAACAAATCCTCTCCCCTATCCTCTTCCCTCTCTCCCCTTCCTTTCCGCTAACAATGTAGTAAGTTTTTTGGGAAGAGACATTCAAAGAAACTGTTCGTGCACTAACTCCAAAAATCTTAGTAATTATACCTTTAGGACTAGGTATTGTTGAATTTGAAGTTCTCGTTGGGATTACAGTCGTTAGCCTTGGAACAACACTAGTAGGTGTAGAAGGCTCAGGCTCAGGAGGCCAACATTGATCTGGACAAGCACACCTGGTTTTTATGGTGAATATCTGTGGAGTGGAATAACATGAAACCACTGGTAGAGATAATGGTCAGTACGACTTTTTAACCGAAATTTTACATCGTTTTTATGTAAAAATAAGGACATTTAATTAACAGCATGACTGCTGATGGTCAGTTCACAAAGCTATTGCTCGATTACAAGAAGTAAAAAAGTAACACAACAACAATTTTATGCTAACAATATCAATATATGAAATATATTGATACATGAAACTAACTTAAGTCAGACAATGGTTTACAAAGCACTTATCCACTTACAAGAAGTAAATCAGTATACAAATTATTGTACCTAATGAAGCTCATCAAGTTCACGTAATTGTGGTCTTAGTTGGTTATAAGATTGGCTTTCACAATCATTCTTCACTTTTACTAAACAACTTTATATTATTAGATTTAAAAGAAATATACCTTGGAGTTCTAAATTTAGTTAAAAAAAAAAAACTCTTTAAAGTGGCTCAAATATGTTTTTGTTTCTTTGCATCGGCAACTCCACAAGAACGTTGCCTAAGGTAAGTTCATAGTTCGGCACATCCCTCTCCTCCTTTAAGATTCCTAAAATCATGTCACTCGATATTCTGGTAAGAGGCTTTCGCAACTAAAAAAGTTTACTTAATATTTAGTCATAGACTTCATTCCAAAACTTATTGAAAAAAGAACACTTAAAGAGAATATGAGATATCATTCCTGTAGTCTGATGACAGAAGGAGCAGTTGGGGTCAGGAATATAGCTTAAGTTATTAATTTGTACATAATATAGAGTTTAACACTTTGTACTGAAAGGAATTGTAAGGCATTATCACATTGTGCTCTCGGTTATACTTTACAGAGCATCTTAGTGGGCTAAAGGTCCATTGTCAAATAGGCAGGAAAAAAAAACGCCATCAGCAATCAAAATGGAAGATCCCTCACTAGATTCTGTTAATGACACCAGCTGATTTGTGAGAGTTCCAGGAGGCAGTGCGTCAAAAATCAGCGGTGATGCCGCACAAAGAATGGAAGGAGAGCATTTCCCCAGTCACTGAATCATTTCTTATTTTCATGCTGCCCCACCTTCATGTTCAAAATTACTGCGAAATCACCATCATGATTAGCCGCAATAAAGTGGATACTCTCTTACTGGCTGTAAAATTTGTGGCTTTCATCTCTTCAAGATATGGTAAAACTCTATGGTAAAAACTACATATCATTTTGAAACACATGAATTATTATAATTGTGAATTTTATGACTCTAATTGGTTCGTAATTTCCACCTTAGAATTTGTTAGCGTATCTAGATTCAGTTTCTTTAATATCTAGATTCTGTATCTAGATTCAGTTTCTTTGTCAAATTTCCTGGAGTTCAATAGTCAACCATAATCGTCTTAAAAACTCTGCAGATTCCCTCCCTCCTCCCCCCTTCCCTAATAAATGCCAAGAATAGAGGGTTACATCCCTTTACAAAGTATAAACAAACAAGAACGAAAAAAAAAAAAAAGAACAGTTACCGGTAACCGACAATGGCAAGTCTTACTAACATATTTACCTTCATCCTTGGGTTCGAAGCTTAGATAGTGAGTCGTCTCGTCAGCTGTACCTTTGAATGTGTAGAGGTGATGGAGCTTTCCCTGCAATGATATGTGTAGATGTTAACTACTCTTGAATCTTGTTTTTTTCTACTAAATTGGTAATGTCAAGTTTATGTCAGAGATTTTAAACGCTTGAAGAAGATTTTTCGATCAAGAGTTACCTCATTCGATGAATAAAAAAGGGGGGACTAGTAAGTTGGCCGATAATGTAGCAACCCCAAGCCTTAACAGAGAAAAATATAAAATGGCGCCTCACCGAAAATTTCAATACAAGAGAAGACTTGCATTTTTAGCAAAAAATACCTACTTTGTTTTAAACACCAGCTCAATCTGTCCTTCTCCGTTTAGTGCACATTAAACCCGTGTCTGCAAACCAGCTTGAAGGTAATAACGCGGTTTTTCTATTTCAGGATATTTACATATCTAGTTAAAATTCAACAATAACAATTAGTTATCTGTAGTTTCAAAGTAAACTTTCTGTAAAAGATGTGTAGATGTGAAAGAAAAATCAGCGAAGTATACTTGCAAAACATTAACTCATCATTTCTGACTTGCTGAAACAGGAAAATATAAACATAACAGAATGAAAACAATGACAACATAACACTGTTAAAGTTTAAAATTAAAGGATGAGTTATGAACTTACTCCGATATCATAACATATTTTTTTAGCATGTGGATCATCTTGCCCAAATGTTATAGAAGTACAAGGATTTTAAGCATACAACCACTTACACTTTCCAGGAACATCAAAAAAGCTATTGTCCAGACAAAAAATTAATTATAAGAACATATGTACAATGCTTTTATTTAGGAGGGAGATCTATTCTAAAACCCTACTCTCATTCGGAGGCATGCCAGGTTGCTTTCATCATTCTGCTTTATGTCTTTTATTGGCAACGAGGGAGGTTGCCATAATTATGACCGATATTGTTCAATTTTATCCCTGATAAGAAGGATGATCATCCCGCTACAAACATTGTTTCATTTTCTCTTAAACGAAACACGATCGAACGCAATTGAAAAAACTTGACATACTCCGAATGCAAATATGGCGTCCAATTTGAGTTGCCATTGTTCTGGACTGACTAGCCTCTCACACATGTAATAATCCTTTTGTATTTCCACGTGAAGACGAGGCTAGGCAGTCCAGAACAATGGCAATTCAAATTGGACGCCATATTTGCATTCGGTGTAGACAATGGCTTTTCTATTCCTCTGAACAGAGTTAATAGATGGTTCCCTCTATTAACTCTGCTCTGAAGGGCCATTGGCTGTAAAAGCTACCGTTAGATATCTGACACGTGCAGTTGTTGATTTTTTGAATGTTCTGGGCAATGCAACCGTTCATCCACCACAAAAAAACCAATCGCATTAGGTATTTGGTCTGCATCTTAGCCTAAAGAAAGAAGAGAATCTATCAAGACAACATGAATAACATTGCGTAAATAACCTGAATTTGGTAGATGAAGCTGAAGTCAGGCACATTTATACGTGAGATTTCAGTTTCTGTGCGGTATATGCCGAAACAGCTAATTCACCTCAATATCGGATCACTATTTACCTCCACTTCGGTGAATAATGGTTGACTATTCACCTCCCAATAGCATCGCACCAAAAGTATTGTTATAATTGCAGGAAAAGATGCGTTAAAATTAGATTTTGTGGTATGGTATCTCACTGTTTTAGTATATGATTAAACAACTATTTATCTCAGTGTCGGCGGTGGCTAACGGTGGATATTTACCGCGCCGCCTTGCTGCTCAGTAAATATCCACCACTAGCCATCATCACCTCGGTGCAAAGTTGTTAATTATTTTATCAGATATCACCGAAAAAGGAATATACAGTGGTGCACAAGGTAATACTGGGGACAATTTTATTGATAGTTGTTGTATCATTACATGCACCCTTTAAAAATGTTAAAGTTCCTTTTCAAGCAATGAATGGCAAGGTTCATGTCTTTAAAACTTTTATTGAAAACTGGATCTTTGGATAATGCAATTCAAGAGTTTTCATTGGCTTAGCTAACATGGGTTATAAGCCATTTAAGTATAATTTCAGAGCTGAGCAAAGAGTTCCAGCAATCTGATTGGTCGAGCGGTTCCTTATATGACACTATATAAACCGCTCCACGCGGTTTATATAAAATGTTAAAATAAAATGTTAATAAATGTTACTAAAATGTTATGATTTTAGAAATTTCTCTGTTGTTCAGCCCTGAAATTATACTAAAACAATTATTCGCTTCAGCTTCGGTGGATATTGTCGAATAATCCCCTCGACTTCGTCTCGGGGATTATTCGACGATATT